GGCCTAACCCCTATCATGGATGCGCTTGCGGGGAACTGCCCCTCTCACTCCTGCTGTCACTCTTCACCCTCTTCTAACCCTTTCCTTTCCATTTAACCCACCTTGATTCACATGGTTGGATGATCAGGGCCTTTAACACGGTAGGAAAAGTATGATCTTTGAAGTCAGAAAGACTCCCCTTGCTGTGTGGCTTTGCTCAAGTTACTTAATTTCTCTATGCCTCTCTTTGTTCATTTGTAAAGTTGGGATCGTATGTAATTTAATTCGTCGAGCTGCTTTGGGATTTAAATAAGAAAAGGAATAAACTATTTTTTGGTTGATTTAACAGCTGGAATAAACAGTACTTATTTCCAACTCTGAATTTTTGAAAGAGTTTAAATTCACAAATTTCGTAGGCATTGGGCCTTAATTCCACAAACACTAAATGTTAATACATGCAAAGCACCATACTGAGTGAGCACTGGGGATAAATATGAATGGTGTGGTTCCTATCCTCAAAGGGAAGAGGCAAATGAGTAAATAATCTATTAAGTTACTTGCAGGGCAGTGATGAGGGCTGTAGGAGATATACTAAGAAGGGCTGTGATAACACAGCAGGAGGATAGGCCTTTTTTTTTTTTTTTTTTTGAGACAGAGTCTCGCTCTCTCACCCAGGCTGGAGTGCGGTGGTGTGATCTCACTGCAAACTCCACCTCCTGGGTTCATGCCATTCTCCTGCCTCAGCCTCCCGAGTAGCTGGGACTACAGGTGCCCGCCACCGTGCCCAGCTAATTTTGTTTTTGTATTTTTAGTAGAGATGGGGTTTCACCGTGTTAGCCAGGATGGTCTTGAACTCCTGACCTCGTGATCTGCCTGCCTCGGCCTCCCAAAGTGCTGGGATTACAGGCATGAGCCACTGCGCTCAGAGGACAGGCCAATCTTGATCAGGCCTTGGAAACAGTAGGCCTTGGAAAGAGTAAATCTTGAAGGATAAAGAGAATTTCAAGACCTTGACTGGCCTGCTAAGGAGTGTGGACCTTATTGTAAGGGTGCTAGGAAGGACCTAGACACATGAGCTCCAAATTTTATGCTCATAATGAAGAAAGGGGGCAATTGAGATCTCTCTACAGTGAAGAAACTGGAACAAGAAGGAGATATTAGAGCAAATTCACTAAGCTCTGCGCCTTCCAAACAGTTACTGTGGACAATATAATAAATTATGAAAATCACACAGACACACACAAGTCTTAGGGGAAAGAGATGAGACAATCCAAATTAGCATCTCTGCCTATGGCTCTGATGTTCAACGTTTTCACCCTCCAGATCAAGCTTGTACAACCCACAGCCCGCAAGCCCTACTGCGGCTTTGAATGTGGCCCAACATAAATTCGCAAACTTTCTTAAAACATTATGAGATTTTTTTTTGTGATTTTTTTTGGTTTTTTTTGCTCATCAGCTATCGTTAGTGTATTTTATGTGTGGCCCAAGACAATTCTTCTTCCAATGTGGCCCAGGGAAGCCAAACAACTAGACACCCCTGTTCTAGATAGTCCCTACATGCAAGGATGGGGAAGGCAGTGCACTCCCGACTCCCAGCCCAGTGCTCGGAGGTGAGCACAATGAATGCTCCAAGAAGGGTTAAATCAGAATGTCATGAGGCTAGAGAAAGCTTTCTTGGCCTATGGAAACATCTCGAAAAATTAAGTGTCTTTTGGAAGGGAATGATGGGTAGAGAACAGATAATGGTAGAATATGGGTGGAGAGAGACGGGAAGGAAGGTGGGGAGTGGGAATGGCGGGGAGATGGGTGTGTTTTACCTGACGCAAAAGTATATAGAATGTTATATACTGACCACCCTCCAAAAAGAAAGAATAATAATTCCAAAATTCAATTCATAGATATTTTTGGAAGATGAGACCAAGGGTGATATAGTTTATGAAAAATTTTTTAGTACTTTCCAAATTTTCTATACAGGGCAAATATTACAATTATAATCAGGAGATTTTTTTTCAGGATTTTTTTTTCTTTTCCAAAAAAACCCTCTTTTTAAAACAGACTTTGAAGTTGAAGTCTACTCAGTTGTCACTGCAGGCTCAGATTGGACACTGAGGGCCGGGCGCCTAGGGGAGACTCACTGACTAGCAGCTTTGAAATTCTTTATTATTAATATCATGTGCTAATAATTTATCACAGCTTGGGTAGACTGTTTCTAGACTGGCACCGTCCAACACAGCTTTCTGCAATGATGTTCTATAGCTGTGCTGTCCAATAAGGTAGCCACTAGCCACTCACGGCTACTGAGCTTTTGAAATGTGGCTGGTATAACCCAGGGACTAGATTTTACATTTCATCTATTTTAATTAATTTGCATGTATTTTTTTCAGACAGGGTCTCACTCTGTTCCTCCAGGCTGGAGTGCAGTGGTGCAATTACAGCTCACTGTACCCTCGAACTCCCGAGCTGAGGCCATCCTCCCACCTCAGTCTCCCCAGTAGCTGGGACTACAGGCATGCACCACTGGCTATTTTTTTTATTTTTTTTATTTTTTTATTTTTGTAGAGACAGGGACTTGCTAGCTCCTGGCCTTCAGCCTCTGCCTCCCAGAGTGCTGGGATTATAGGCTTGAGCCACTGAGCCTGGCCTAATTAATTTACATTTAAATAGCCTGAGGGAGCCCTTAACATGTTCCACTCAGACTGCAGCTCTGAGCCCTCTGAACACAAAACTCTCCCTACATCCTCCCTAGATTCTTTCTCAAGGGAGAACCAGGGCCTCTGCCTTGGACATGGACACGCTTTGATCCATCCACAGGGGGCTTTCCTCAGCTCTGTAGCATGGGGGCAGTGTGCGGAGGGTGGGGACCGGTTACCACGGCAACCAGGAGCTGTGTTGGTGCCAGCACAGCTGTGACCCATATCTTCAGTCTTAGACTCATTGGATTCTTATCAAGAATGAAAATCATCTGTCATTCTACCTCTTAAGAATGTAAACCATCTGTCGTTCTACCTCCTCCTCTCTCTATTTTGCTTATCTCTACGGTCTGGCTAGCTTGTAGTTTTTTTTTTCTGAAAAAATTTAGTAAGTAACTTGTGTTTCTTCCAGTAATCTTTTCTCTTGTACATAAATTTCTCTTCTGAATTCTACCCCCCAATCCATACAGTCCACTTAACAAGCATCACTTGTGAAGAAGAGGAAGACTATAGAAATTCCATTTTAAAATCTATCAATTTTGGTTGCTTTGTTATTTAACTTACCTTTTATTTGCAGTCACCAAACAGAAACCTAAAATAACACAGGCACAGTCACATTTTATACACTCCCTTAGAAATGGTTTATGTTATTGGCGGGTATATATGATTTATGTTGTGTGTGTATGGTTAGTAATAATAATTTTAAAACGTGATATTTGTTGAATGCTATAGGCACTTTTCTGTGCATATTTTTTGTATTATCTCATTTAATACTCCCAAGAAGCCAATCAAATAGATCCTGTTAACATTCCTACCTCACAGGAGAAAAACGGGGCACAGAGAGACTAAGCCCTTTGTCAAGGTCATACAAGCCTGGTGGTGGAACTAGGTTGCCTATGTTTATTATCTCTAGTTTAGTATCAACGTGATTACTACTCTCTTTTATTACTACTCTGTTATACTATTATTACTCTCATTATTATTACTCTCTTTTATAGTTCTGTTGCCCTATCTTCTAAAATCAAATGTTGCAAACCTGTGATGATTCAAGGCCTGAACCTCTACAAACTCAAGCTGCACCCCCAATAACAAAGAGAAGTGCACTCTTGGGGTGCTCTAGAATAGACCTAATGATAGTTTAATGGCTCAAGGCACAAAAAAGAAAAGATAGTGAGCTAGGGAAAGGACACCTGGGGGTGAGCCCAGCCCCACTGAAAGTGAAAACAACAGTGTTGGTCTGTGGCCCGTTCCATTTGTTCTTGCTCTTTGGACACACTTAGTGCGTGGCCCCAGCCTTTGACCTGCCCTCATCTCTCCTGAGTTATGGCCAGTTATGCCAGCGAGGACAGTTTGTAACTCTGGTGTGAGACACTGTAGGGGATGGCCTTACAGCCTGCACACAGGAGAGTGCTGTTCATCCATTCATTCACTCGAAAACATGCCACAACTATTTTCTGATGTTTACTATGCGTCAGGCCCAGGGGGTACAATGGTTAACAGGAACAGCCACAGTCCCTGCCCTTTTAGGGGTAAAGTCTAGTTGCAGAGACAAACATTAATCAAATTCTCAGACCGTCAGTTGTTGAGCTGCCACAGGGACAAGTGCAACAGTGAAATGGCACCATGAGAGTCCATCATGGAGGTTTCACCTCCCTGTGGAAGTGGCATGGGTGCTGAGAACAAAGGATGAGAAGGGCTAGCTCAGGGAAGAAGGGAACAGGGATACAAAGGCCCCATGGGAGAAGTGTTTCAGTGGGAGGGACTGGAAGAGGCCAGGGTGCTCCCGTGGAGATGGCGGGGGGCTGCATGGTTTCGAAAGAGGCTGGAGCCATGTGGAGGCCACGCCACGCATGCTTAGCAGTGTAGGTGTTTGGTCTTGATCCTGAGGTTAGTGGGAAGCCTCTACCGGGTCATAGGCATGACCAGATTTGAGTTTTCAACGATCACTCTGGCTTTGGGGTGAATGCCAGAGTACGGTGATGGTGGCAGGCTGACAGCACCTGGGAAGAGATGAGGACTTCCCATGTATGAGGCACAGGGAGCCTCTGCCCTCTCAGGAATTACATTCTGCAGGTTAAAATCCCACAACAAGGTGTTCTGGCAGAACCTGTTCAGGCTGGGGCAGAGGGTGGCAGTGTTCCTGGGCCCGAGTTCAGACAGTTGTTCAGGACTGGAGCTAACATACGTAGAGGATCTACTGGGCACCTGGCTCTCTGAAGCCCCTGTACAGTGACCTTAGGACTCAGGAACTCTACTGCACCAAGTGCTGTAGAGATCTCATCCTGTCACCCAGGTGGAACATGTGTGATGGACACAGACAGCAACTGTTACCTGGTCATTGAGCGGTATCCCTTTTCCCATCTTCTTTCGATTTTCCTCCGGGTGATAGTCATCAGCATCATAGAATTTCCATCCCAGCTTTAAGAACAAAGTGAAAGGGTGTATGTGGCAGGCAGATGGGCCAATGTGACAGTCATTGTGGGGTTACTAACAGGCAGGTGTAGAAACAATACCACCTGCTGGTTCCCATCAACCCCAAGGACAACCCCCAGGAGGGGAGCACCTTGTCATGCCGTTTCACAGCCCCCACGACTGGGGCTGCCATGGTCTCCTTTAATTCATTACTTTTTTTTTTTTTTTTTTTTTTAGACAGAGTCTC